AGACGTTATCAAAGTGAATTTCTTCAAAGACAATTGTTTTTTATTTTTTACAAATAATATTAGTGTCAACATATAAAAACGTTTTTGTTTTATGGTGTATTTTTATAGAGAGTAAATTGGATTTTTAGTGTATAAAAGGTATGTTTTCTAATGTTGAAATAAGGAATGTTGGGCTATGTGCTGCACCTTGTTTTGAAATTTACCATACAAAAGAAAATTTTGAATAGTTTTAGTTTATTATATATTTTTTAGCTAATAAATATTATTATTATATTATTACAAATTTAGGTAAAATTAAATATTTTTCAGTTTTTTTTTTCGTCTCCTCCTTCCCCTTCAAAATAGTAACTGGTAATTGAAAAACAGTACGATCTGCAATGCGATTCAATATTCACTATAATTATTTATCCACTATTTTTATTGAATTTTTAGTAATTTTTGCATTTTTTTTACATATTTATTGAAATTAAGGTCCAAATATGTATTTTCTTAGATAAAAAAAATTGATTTTTTCTGGTCGGTTTTTTTTTTAAATTGTGCATTAAGGGGTTAATAAATGCCTTCATAGTGTCCGCAAACAAGCATACTATTACAAATGGTAAACAGAATAAAGAAATTCAGTCTTGCGATTCTTACAAAGTAGCAAACGTCAGTCGTTGTACGCGGTCGATACGTTTAGCGTTGAAGTCGTTGATTTCGAATTTTGTGCAGCCGGATGGGCAATCCATGACCCAAGGTCGCCGGTGGCAATGCGCGTCGCCGGTGAACAGGCGTTGACAGGGTTGCGTCCACGCGGTGACCCGTCGACCCGGGTCAAACGCGTTAACCCTTTCGATGGCGGCACTCAGCGCGACATGCACGATGTCTGCGGAGTGTTTACAGTCGCGGCACGTCGCGCGTGTCCGTCAAACGTTTGCGCACGCCACGAAGCTAAACGAAACCCTATTGCGACGAGTTCCACCGTTACCGTTTGCGCGGGAAACCCGCATTATTTGGAAGTAACAAGGGGGTAAACAACTCGGTAGTTGGCAGCGAGAACGATAAACGAACCAAGTCGCGTGTTCGGGGCTGTTGTAACAAGGCTATTCAGTTCGTAGACGGCGGCGCAACACGGACACAGTGTTGCCGAACGGCGAATACGATTATCCTGGCCGTCTAATCGGTGTATAATGGACAATGTCAAAGTTAGGAGCAGCGCGAACAGATCCCGGTAATTTCACTGCCGAGAACCGGCGAACCCGATTCCCCGCTTTGACGCATGAACCGCGTTCGATAATACACACTGAAATGTAATTCCCACCTTCGAGATCGGGTTAAATGGATTTGTATCGCGCCGTGTGTGCTCGGTTTGTTCCAGCGTGCAAACAACGCCGTTAAAGCCACAAGGAACAATAAAACGGCGCACGCTGCTAGCTTTTCCCAGAAAGTTTGCCAAAATTCGTCGTTTCGTACAATTTTTGTGGAGATCGGTCCTCATATGTTTTCGATGCTGCTGAATTTGAATATGTTGTCGGAAATGCAAAATTCAAAGTGGATGTTCAGTATAACATCTATATATGTATATACAGCGTGGGTCATTTAATTGTTAGTTTTTATCTTAGTTTTTATCGTAAACTACGTGCAACAAAAATGTTCCGAATAAAAGTTGTTTGGTATAAAGAGAAGCTTGCACGGCACACAACAATTAATTTTTAATCACGCTATTTGAAAATGTAGACGATAAAAATTATCTATTAATTAATAATAAAATAGAATAAATTATTAGTTATTGAAAATCAAAGAAAAAATATCTCAATAATCATTAATTTCTCAATCCTTAAACCTTCATAATTTTTTATTCTTAATAGACTTTCAAATGGCGTGATTGAATGTTGTACGTCATGGTTAAAGAAAATAGCAAAAAATTAATTCTTATTTAATTAGTTAAAGCAAAAAACTTTGGCACAAAACATCCTTTTATATAACATGTAGTTTTCAAAAGAGTTAAAGTGAAAGAGTTGAGCCTCCTATACACGCTCTGTGTAATTAGAATATCAAATTTATTATGACGATCTGAATTTCAACATTTTTAACATTGTTCACTTGATACTTTAAGACCAAGTTTGTGGAGTATTGAAAGCAGCTATTTTATGTTGCTTTAGAAAAATAACATACGTACATTTATTCAGATATTTAACGATTTTTATTACAACATATATCCAATGGAACAAATACAACATCCTTTTGCAGATCAAATTCACGTATTCTCAGATCATTATATTTATATTATATTTACATTATTTAACTCTCGGAGCTGTTATAGGACGAATTTGTCTCGCGAAACATTGAATTTGATTTACAAACGAGTGGATTTCATTTCAGAAATGTGATCTTCCCCACCTCAAATTTACAAAACAAAAGCGCGTATCTATTTGTCATCCACATTTATTTGAACGCTTAAGCAACAAAGCAGCAGGATTCTGTTACGGCTTGAAAGAAAGGAATAACTTTCGTCGAGGGGTTCGCTTCCATAGAATCTCCGTACCGTACGATGCACGCGATTTTCGAGCAAAAATCATGCAAACGAGCAACAAGGCTGACACGCCGCGTTCTATCTCTTCCAATTATCACAGCATGGATTCATCGAGCACGGATACCGTCCCGTAAAGCGTCTTAAATATCACGGCCGGCAAAGAGAGGAATAGAGCAAAATGGCCCGTGCAAACAGCGCCCGCCGGCGAAACACTGAAAATTCAAGCAAACGATCCCGCCGCGCCGGGGCCGGTGCCGGGGCCGGGAGTATGAATTTCTCGGACGGGTCCGGTCTCGCGAGCGTGCTGGTATCCCGCGCGTTTCTTCTGGCGGGATCGCAACGTTAAAAGCTCGTTTGCGCCAAGCCACGCCGAGAAAGGATGTGCCTGAGTTAGGTCGAAGTTAACCGAGAGAGCCATTAGCTTAAAACTGTTAGCCGGCCTTAAGCGAAAGGAGAACGACGCCGGGAAGGAAGGAAGGAAGGAAGGAAGGACGGACGGACGGACGGAAAATGGCGGAGAAAAGAAACGCTCGTGGAAAAGGGAGCTTTGAAAGCGTTCGCGGCGTATTATGAAAATGGTTGGTCAGTCTCGGCTGGTTAAGTGCGCGTCTCTATGAAAAATACAGGCGGAAATAGTGGGTGGCCACGGGCAGGGATGAAAAGAGAGAGCTTAAGTCGAGAGGCCGCTCGGACGCTCGATATGCATTTTAAGCCGGACCACTCAATTAAGCTCGCAGCTATCTTCGGTATTTGCATATCAATATGGACCTGTGCCAAGAAGGAAAGACTCGCTCAGCTTGCTGGATTTGGATTATTCGGGAATCGGCAGGTACACGGGTACATCGGGAATGCAAATCGCCCCGCTGCAGTCGGGAAAATACACGGCTAATAATTACCATCGAACGGAATTGCATTTCTGCGCCCTGCTTTAAAGCAAACGCTCTTTGGGTTTGTCAAGTCGACAATCGTCGAATAACTAACTACCTGAGACAATGTCACGTGCTACTGGTGGTGTATCAGATTCTTCTGCGGGAACACTAGTCCTTTAACCTTAACCTTTTGTCGCGGTTGTTTTCTTCGCAGTTACAATGATCAGAACTTTCTCGATTGGAATAATTGCGCAGCTGGTATTTATGCAAAATTTATGCACGATATATGCAAAAACATATGCACGACATATGCGGAAACATATGCGAAATATAGGCAAAATAATGAATATTATTTACTGTAATTTGCATTACAATATGTGGCTATAGTCTGTTCTAAAATTTGTTACGATAAGTTGATGTCTTTTCTCATTGATGATTAATTTGAAACTTGAAGATAATGAAAAAATTACATCTACTCATTTTAACGATCAATTTACGCCGCCACTTCATTTGACACGACGTAATATTGCAAATCGAACTGAGAACAAAAATACCTGCGACATGTGCTGCGGCCTCGTCGCCGTCGACGTCATGTGCACCACCGAAGCCCTTGGCATCTTGAAACTGTGGTCACCCTCGTCCGGCACGGTAGTTACCTGCAACGAAAAGCACGCCTGCTAATACAAAATGCAAAACGTTGTCCGCTATGGCGTTTTCACTGTATAATAGGAGACAGCGAATTTTATTATACGAGAACGAGAAATTAATTCTAACGTGAATTGAAACTGAATGTCACAGAGGATGATCTATAGACGACAAATTTTGCACTAAAAAATTTGTTTTTTGTCATTTTTTTTGCAGGTTTCATTAGCCGTTTTTCATATCAATTTTATGTTTTTGCAAATTAAGTTAACCCTTTAGTATTCAATTCTACAATGTAATTTAAATTTATATTATATATTATTTATTTACATAAATATATTATATTATTTATATTATATATATATATAATATAAATAATATAATAAAAATTAAATTAATATTATAAAAACTAACGAACATTAATTTACGCAATTATTTATTATGAAA